CATCCTTCCAGAACTCAACTATCTTTCCTCTTGTATCCCTCCATCCATTTGTGCAGGTGGTCAGTCAGCGGTTTCCTCAGAACAGTATCGGTGCAGTAGGAAGTGCTATGTTCTTGCGCTTCATTAACCCAGCTATTGTATCACCATATGAGGCAGGCATCCTAGACAAGAAACCTCCACCTCGCATCGAGCGTGGCCTCAAGCTAATGTCTAAGGTAAGTAAAGTAATGCCATGTTCTTAGATATTATACATGTCTCCCATTTCCATCATCTGTGGTGAAGGATGTTGACTAACTGGCAAGATGAAATGTTTATTTATACCAATATGTTTATGTATACAAAATTTGTCTACAATATTTTTTTCTCTTTTTTTTCAGATACTCCAGAGCATTGCTAATCATGTCCTTTTCACAAAAGAAGAGCATATGCGGCCCTTTAATGATTTTGTCAAAAGCAACTTTGATGCAGCCAGAAAGTATGTTTGTATTTGATTGATTCTCTTATATTAGATTATTTTTGTTTCTCTCTAGTGGAGATTCTTGATTTGTGCTAGATGTTCATCACATCAAAATATTTTTGATTATTTAACCTGAAAGAGAAACCTAAGTTTTAAATGAGTATATTTGTTAAACGTAACTTTGGCCATGCTTTAGGGGTATGCGAGTATATGTGTCCTTAACTTAAAGATATGGACTTAATGGCCATAAAACTCCTGTTGTGATTTTATCGAGTCTTGAAACATGTTTTAAACCCATGTGTTTCTCAGCAACTTTATGAACCTTGCACTTCAAAATGCCTAATTTCTTTTTTGTCAGGTTCTTCTTGGATATTGCATCTGATTCTCCGCCAAGTGATTCTGTGAACCACAGTCTGTCTTTCATCAGTGACGGCAATGTGCTCGCCCTGCACCGTCTGTTATGGAACAACCAGGAAAGAATCGGCCAATACCTGTCCAGCAACAGGTAAAATAGCTTCTAGATATACAAAGAATGTCAAGTCATTTGCAAGGTATACAAGGTCTGTATGCTTGGGGTTTTTCAGTAACTAACCCATCTAGATACAATCTTTTTCCTTTTTCTGTGGTAAGTGTAAAAGAGTTTTAACGCATGGAAAATTTGTAATGTATACAGTTTTAACAAATCTTGTAATCAAACTTTAAACCATAGGGACCACAAGGCAGTGGGTCGCAGACCGTTTGACAAGATGGCCACCCTCCTGGCGTACCTGGGCCCCCCTGAACATAAGCCAGTAGCTGACACACACTGGTCCAGCCTCAACCTTACCAGCTCAAAGTTTGAGGAGTTTATGACAAGGTTACTGTTCTTGCCTTTGCCAAAAGCTTGCATTTCTCTTCTCTTTAAATTTTACCCAGATAGCAAGAGTGAAGATTTCTAGTTAATACGTTTTATTGGTGTTATTCTCACCTTTTTCTGTCTGGAGATTATTGTAGCTTTTTTTTATTTTTTTTATTTATGGATATGTAGTAGTTTCATTTGTTAGATCCAATGGTATTAATTTGTTTTAGCATCTGAAATGTCCTTTTATTCCAAAGCCAGTTATATAATGAAATTAACGTCAAGTGCACACACAAATATGCACATTCACACATGACACATCAGTTCTGGCATTACTAAGTTAACATTGCAGCCTATTCAGTATCAAACAAATATTGAGTCAGCCAAACCAGAAAAGTTACTTGGCTCAATTTAAACTTTCTGTTGTATAGTAGTGACAACTGCTTCACCGCAGTAGTACACAATACACATATTTTCACATGTTGCTATTTTATGTGAATTTTGGGATACCAAGTGCAAGTCTTGTTTACATAATAAATAGTTTAGCAACCAAATTTTACATTGCAAATATGGTAAAATTTGGATTTGTGCTGAATGATAGAGGTATGTGGGCTTATATATTTGGATTGTGCCATATGTCAGCTTAATTTTTTTAACTATATCGTGCACTAGCGATAAAACGGTATCAATATTTATCGACGGTACACCTTCTTTGAAAGCGATATAAAAAATGTTCGATATAGTGCATGATATAGGCACGTGCGATGAGGGACGCAGACAGCACACACAAACACGAACACATGCTGAATTGAGTGCAGTGCCTGCCTGTGATGAGGAGATTGTGAATTAAAAAATGAATATTAGTCGAATTTAAAATAAACATTTGCATTTGAATGTTGGGAGTGCGTCAGGGAGCGTCATCAGTGGTGACATTGTTGCATTTTAATGTTTTGTCTAGCCCACGAGATGCGCCGCTGCTGTGTTATGCATTCAAAATATTAGAGAAATATAGAAGATCAATGCGGAGAAGATCTTGATTAGGTTAAAACCGAAACCAAGCCATTCACACAGAACGCATATTCAGCGTATTTTTTAGACGGACAAATACGACTGCTGCACTCGCGTGTCATACAAGAGATGTATAGAAAGCCATGCAAAGTTAAAACAGTTTAAACGTTTAGAAAACACGTTGCGAATTTGTGGAGGTTTATTCCTTTTCACTGCATCTTATATGTTTTCAAATGCAATCTGTGTGATCGGCGAGTCGGCTGCTCTTCAATTTATGCAATGCATAAATACATGATGCTGTTTTGTTCATAATTGTTTATGCAATTTACGAAATTATATATGATTTATGAGTTAATTTAGATGTAATGCAGGTTTTCTTAGACATTTATTTCCTTGCGTTGACAATTTAAATGTGCTGCATTATTT